TGTGATGCATTGTTATCGCGAAACTTATTGTCAGATAGTTTTCTGTGTGTATGATTTCGATCACGTGGTAGTTACCCGCGAGTATTTTTTTCTTTTCATTGCTAAGTTGTATCGTGTACTTGTGGTTCACATTTGTACTGTTGCGTGATGTTACGTAATTATGTCGAGTAATTTGTCAGGTTTTGTGCATAAATCTAGTCCTGTGGATCAATTTTTATGTCCACTTTTTAAGAAGCAGCGTCGTCGTTTTTTGCCTGTAAAGCTATGCAAGGTTAAGTGTTATTTCTCTGATATGTATTTTCCTGCTCATGTTTAGTACCGTAGGCGTTTGGATGTTTTTAAGTAAATGATGAACACAATTACGCGTAACTTCTGTTCTAGTAATGTCTGTAGAATTTCGCCGGGTGTGATCGGGGCGTCCGGTCTCGCGAATTTATAGCGTTTTGCTTCCAGTGGATTCGTCTGGTGTTACTCACAGATATATATTGGAAAGGATCATGTAGAGGGCTAATTAGCTTAACTAAAACCGAGCTAAGTTTCCCGAAATCAGCCCAAACAATTCAAACAATGCAAAAAAACAACCGCTTGTTAGGCATTTTAAAGATTGAGAGCGCGAATGTTCATTTCCATGCAAACCCTTATATTTCACCCAATGCGCAACGTGGACATATTTGCATATTCACAGAGGTTCTGGTACTGATCCGCAGTTTAGTCACACCCGAAAAAGTGTACTTCTCTCAAACGAAGTAGGAGCAGAGGAAAAAAAAAGAAAATGGAATGTGTAATCAAGACAAAAGATGTCAAGCTTGTTCCAAGTCTGCAGCAGGGAATTTCCCGTTGAAACGACCGGTAATTTTTTCTTTGTGAAAAAAATATATTTGAGCTACATCTTCCGTGCTAGTTCACTAACCTTTGGTCATTAAACGCGTTGTTGGAGAAAAAAAAACAGTGAGCGGTCTAGATCAGGGGATCTCCCGTTGAAATGAGCTATAAAGGGATTTTCTTTTCTTTAAAAGAAAAAAAAAACAAGAAAAATTGTTTGAGCTACATCTTCCATGCTATTTGACTGAACTTTTAAAGAAAACATTGAACGGAATCGAAAGTGAGAGTTCTTTTTAATTAAGATTGCCAGACAAACATCTCTGATCTGGGTGTTAAGTTTCTCTTGCAACATAATGAGCTTTTCCAATTTCCTGTGTTGAAACCCAGCCATTCTGCAAGCTTTAACAAGAATTAAAATAGAACCTCCATTTTCAGAATAATCATCCACAAAATTTCACCACGTGTTTGTCGGGAGCCGCTAGAATGTGTTAGTTACTGAAAACACTGATAAATGAAGAATGAATGTTTTCGAACCGAGAAAAAGCTAAGAACGTTTTGGAAACAGCTTCCCTTTTTCAGTTAGCAACGATTGTCAACCACTCGGCGGCTGTAGCATTTCTCAAAACTGCAGGTTTTTCGTTAAGAATACTCAAGCCGCGAAAGCGTCGTTAAGGATACTCGAGCCATGAAAAGTGTGTTTAATCGACTTTTAACAATAAAACAAGGACTCCCTAAAAACTTTGTTTTTAATGTGAGCATCTACAAGACATCATCAGAATATTGGTTGACGTATATCTTCTCCTTCTTCTTCTTTTGTTTTTCGGTATTTTGTTTTTATTTTTTTTTTCAATGCAGCATTCAAAGCAAAGATTTTTAGGTTTTCTGAAGTGAATAGG